CTGTTTTGGTTTAGGGTAGAGCCTCTCAGGTTTGGTTGTAAGATTTTATTGGTTTTCTTGTCCTTGACTTGTCAGTTGTGGGTTGTTTTCACCCACTGACCAGCAGGAAATTTATTCAGAGCAATTAGGAGGTGCCTTCGTAATTCTCGTAGCCACCAAGGCCGAGTGTACCTGCAAAACCCGCCAAAAAAATGTCGCAGTTTGTTGTTGAGTTGAGTGGTTAAGTGGAAGCTGATAAGTTGGAGTACTAGTTTAGTTGAAACTGTGAAAGAAAACGTATGATCTGCTGTGAAGAATAAACTATACCAAGATGTGATTCTAGACTCCTGGTACCTTTTTACTTAACTAGCGAGTTGCTCATGCACCCCCAACAACTCGTCTAAACGTGACGAACTCTGCCATCTGAAAGAGGAAGTTGAAAATGATATAATAAATGACGCAAACTAGGGAAAGGTATTTCGTATTGAATAACTGGGCTTGGTTTTTAAATACAGTAAATACACTTCCTGAAGGTAAATACAAATTAGAACATTGACCTTTTTATAACATGCGGCAAGTGTTTGGTTTGATGCAGAAAATCGCTGTGAGCACACCTCACCGGATACGATTATAGTTGTGAATGATCTTCAATTCCACGAGGAAAAAAACTTGCCCACCAGTCTCACCCCTAACCCAACAATTTTACGCCAAAAGACAACTTTGTATAATGTTGACATGATATAATCTGATCCACTCAAGATAAGCCCGGAAATTAACGTGATGAACTCTGCCCTCTGTAAATGGGAAGTGAGAAAATGATATACTATAAACGACGCAAAAGCGTACGTCCCAACAAAACACTCTCACGTACCATAACCTTCATAACATCATTGAGACTAGCTGTGAAACTGGCTTAGAAATGACGACTCCAAAGCAAAGATTTCCTTCGTTTGCAAATACCATCTCAGCATTAGGTATTGTTCTTTACTGTGTTGGGTTTTTAAGAGTTGAATTAGAGTTGAACAATCACAAGAAGAGGCTAAACTCGCTTGAAAAGGTAGCGAAGAGTATTGACCCACCATCCAGCGGTCCAAATGTCAAGCCAGAGGTTATCAAGAATTCTCACGGTATGTATTACTCGCATTATCTTGACACAGTTGAGAATTGATTTTTATGCAGTCTAAAGGGTCAGTCTCTCAATTCTTTCCCTGAAGCCGCTGAAAGAATGGTTAAATATTCACCCATGGCAAACCACTGATGATACCAAATGAGAGAGTTAAGCCATTTCCTTTGCAAAGCAGTAGGACATACGAACGTCTTCCTTTCGTACAACACTTAGTATGTCTCAGATAAAGGCAAGAAATGTGCTATTACACTTACAGTACAGTGTACAGTCTATTTAAAAGTAGAACTAATTGGGTTAGACTTACTAAACATTATGCACAAGGTAATTAATGTTTTCAGGGAGATTCATTGCTTTAATTGGCGACGAAAGACGGATGATATCATAGTAAAGACCATGAACCGGTGACAAATGCATTTTCTTGCTAACAAGACAAGCAACAACAATAACTAGGCACAACATGTTTAGGAGAAAATCATTCAAAGTCAAAAATTCCTTCAAAGAGCATTGTGATTTTTTTAGGAAAATCAAACCAAGTACTAGTCCGTGACAATAAATACTCTTCACAGTAATCAAATACATGCTTCATAACGGTCATTTACCAATCTTTGTGCAAATCAATTTTTTTTCTGCCGACGTTGCTACCTTAAAATTTCAAAAGTTGCTACGTAATTTGTTTGTTTGTTTGTTTGTTTGGTTTTTTATGTATAAACGTTAGAGGGGAGAGGAGCATAAAAGGAAGGAGAGAGAAATGGCCCAAAACAGTAGGGAGGAGGGAGAAATGAAATGTTGGGAGTAGCTAGATATCGATTAGAAGGTAATTTTATGCCTTTTTTTAACCTGCATGATGACAAGGGATGGGGAACGGGGAATTTGACGTACACTGTGATCCCCTTGGGTCTCCTGGGACTCCCTTTGTCGGACGTAACCGAATGGAATCAAACTTTGAAACTTCTCAGGTTACCAGGTTTAAAAATTGGCGACGAGCAACACACGACTCCTGTACTTGGTCGTAACCTTCAGAACTTCGCTTTAACTAATAGGTCCTTTAGGGATTTTCCCTTGCGATATGATATGAGGGAGGCTCCTAAAAGATTTCTCTTAGCCGTTGTTGGTTTTGTATAAGGTGCCATTTCCCCATTAGTACTTTCTTCAGGCTAGTTAAAGCCGGGTGGTATTGTGTAAGAAGAGGTTTCCTACGTGCGGATTTGTTTCTGTGTTGAAGGGTGTTTTCCTGTTGGCGAATTTTACCTCAGAGCGGTGCTTTCTGACAATTATAGCGACAGGGTAGCGTCTTTCTATCAGGCGATTTTCGAAATTTTTGATATTTTGCTCAAAATTGGTTTGAGAAGAATTAGTCCTCAGAAGCCTAAGCGCTTTTCCTTTAAATGAAACCTTTCTTCCCCGGGGGGGAGGGGGTACTAGACTAATATTTGGGTATAGGTGAGCCGCTAAGGGTTTATAACCCTGTTTAGGACAAAAAATTCCTAAAATACATACCCTGTTTAGGACAACACCCTCAATCGTAGTACACTGTTTAGGACAACTCCCGACTAACACAAAATCGATCGTGCATGAAACACCCTGTTTATAATTAGAACAGACTCGCACAAATCCTGCACACTGTTTAGGAAAGACTCGTGCGAAATTGTATACCCTGTTTAGGACAGAGAGGACTAAAACCAAACCCTGTCCAGCGTCACATCCCCGTATACCCCGTATAGACCATATAAGGAAGTACCTCCCCCCCCCACCTCTTGCCCCAGAGCTTTCTTCACGCCTGGTAGGTGACGCGAGTAGAAGTTCGTGTACTGAAAGGTTTGTGTTGGTTCAGTGTAACAGTGTGTTTGCACGTCTACCTTGTTGAATCTTTCTACATTTTTGTGTCCGAGAAAGTGATCTCTGTTTATGACATCTCGGGCGTGAATTTTGTAGTAGAGTGAAAGTTTTTTCCACAAAGCTCTCTATTTTGTCTAGACATTTCCCATAGGGAAAACACATCAGTCGTCGACATATCTTTTCCAAAACAGCGGTTCAATCGGTTCAGTACAACTCTGTCTCAGTATTTGGTTTTCTATTCTGGCCATTTGGATTTTAGCAAAAGCAACGGCTATCTTTTTTCCCATGGCTGTTCCATGGGTCTGTAGGTACTTAATACCGTAATATTGAAAAGAGTTTTCTGTTAAAATAAGATATAGTCTTTCTCTTAGATAGGGGCTTTCTCTCCATGAAAATCGTCGTATACGTGACATGCTGTGGTTACTCGCCCTCTTTTGATGGCATGTTGGTGTAGAGGCGAAGCTCCGGAGGTCAGATCGATAACTTCCTTTACGACTAAGCCACACCGGTTTCCACCGTTTTACGGCAATCGGTCAGATTTTTCATAATGAACAACCTCAACGTTCCAAGTTGAAATCTGAAATATGGTTTGGACTCGCCTTGCTCCGTATCCACTACAACATGGACATTGACCATGGTGAAATAATCCGCTGATTTTTAAGGCTTCATCCGAGTAGAATAGAACTGGACAATATCCTGTCTAAATGACTCAGAAATCCAGGTTAGCGGACTTTAGGGAATTAAAATAAAAAGAATTTCGGGGGAGCATATCCCCAGGTCCTCTCAGAAGATTGCGCCTTCCGGCGCTCGTTTAGGAAATAGGTCAGTACGTATCCTGGATCAACAACTGTAAGTGCAGGAGTTGTCGTCTGTTACCCGTCGCCAACTTTCACACCAGCTTAAGGGAGGAGGGAGAAATTGCCCCAGAAAGCAGGAAGGAGGGAGAAATTAGCTAAAAAGTAGGAAGGAGGGAGATTTCCCCTACCGTACCTCTCCCTCTTAAAAGCTTTAGTTTTTGTTCTTTAAAACAGTTGTTAAAATCGGTCATCGCCTTCAAGAGTTGCAAACATGGGCGAAAATTGAATAAAGGATACACTTAACTTTACCCCGAGGTAGCTCAAGGTCAGTATGCGAAACTTTGTCAAGTGAAGGGTGTTCAAAAAGTTGATAAATTAATGTTCAAGAAAATCACATAACTTGTAGTTTTCTATGAAATCGTTGACTTTTTCGTGCTTTATATGTCCACTAAGAAAACTTGACTTGCGCGGTTTAGAGAGAACCGCAAAAAGTTGCTCCAAACGCCATACGTTGGTGGCAGTTTTCGAGCACAATCGGGACAGGCTCACCTGCCAACTGCTTACCTTGTAATATACATGATAACTTTGGTAGGACGACCATAAGGTTTGTATATTCGCGAACTGATGTTTGAGTCACTTTATGTCAATGCTTTCCAGAACGTTGTGTAAGTTCTTCCGTCCTTCCTTTTTCTCTTCGCAAGGGTTTTCTTTATTTTCTTGAATTTCCTGTGTCTGGATAGAGTCATACCCAGTTCAGTGAAATATAAGCATTAATAACAAAACAGCAAAGACCCAAAACGACTTGAGATTCCCATTATTTCGCACGGACAAGTCGTCCTTCTTCAGGGGATTTAATGAAGAACCGCAAAGTCGTTAAAATTCAAAAGCATGGACGATTTGCAGCTGGTCAGTTAAGTGAGCCAGGAGTTGGGGAGGACAGTCTATACTTCAATATGAGAAAGTCTCTACAGACTCTGCATAATGGTAATTTGAAAATTGTAAAATCGACGGTGTTCAAAAGTCAGAGTGTTCACCGACGTTTCGGCAATGCTGTCTTCTTCACGTACTTCATATATGCATTCCTTTTGTAGTAATGTATTCTGAAGAAGTTAACAATTTTAAAACTTATCTTAAGTAGTTTCGATCAAGTTATTACTGTTGACTAACTATTCAAATTCCAAAAACGCACCATTCACAACTTAAACAAATTCAGCACTAATTTTCCTTTTTTTCTTATTTTGCTGACAGACTTTTATCAAGAAAGAGTTAGGCGTCAAGCGAATTTGGCCAACGACACAAAGAGCGCTACAGTCACAGCGGATACTCTCAGTAAAATCAACAAACTGCTGACAGAGGCGGGAGTGCAGCTCCGTCAATCAAAGGGTGACTCTTGTCAGTCAGGTCCCCCAGGTCCCCCCGGCCCATCAGGACCGAGGGGAGAGAAAGGAACCCGAGGAAGAAGAGGAAAGAAAGGAGATAGAGGTATTATGGGATTACCAGGAAAAAGCGGCAAGCAAGGCAAAATGGGAACTGTAGGGCCAAAAGGCCAAGCTGGACAAAAAGGACATAAGGGAGGCACGGGGTTCACCGGCGTGCCAGGAGCCAAAGGAGATAGAGGCATTATAGGACCACCAGGAAACAGCATCAAAGGACCTGTAGGACCAAAAGGCGATGTTGGACCGAAAGGACAAAAAGGAGACACAGGGTTCACCGGCGTGCCGGGAGCCAAAGGAGATAGAGGCATTATAGGACCACCAGGAAACAGCATCAAAGGATCTGTGGGACCAAAAGGCGATGTTGGACAAAAAGGACAAAAGGGAGGCACAGGGTTCACCGGCGTGCCAGGAACCAAAGGAGATAGAGGCGATATAGGACCACCAGGAAAGAGCATCATGGGACCTGTAGGACCAATAGGTAATGCTGGACCCAGAGGGCAAAAAGGAGACACAGGACCCACCGGCGTGTCAGGAGCCAAAGGAGATAGAGGTGTTATAGGACCACCGGGAAAGAGCGGCACAAAAGGCATCAGGGGACTTATAGGGCCAAAAGGCGGTATTGGAGTCAAAGGGCAAAAAGGAGAGAAAGGGTCTGCTGGCACGCCTGGAGCTAAAGGAAACTCTGGTCAAACTACCACCGTTGTTGTACCTTGGGGTAAGTGATAATCTAATTCTGTGCTAATTTGCTCTACCATTAGTATATGTCCAATTTGGAAATATATAATTGGATGAAAAAAATACCGAGGACAGCCAAAATTGGCGGCAGAGGAATTTTTTGGATTCAGGTATTTCAAAATTGGACAAGCATGTAGTCCTTTTACTAATTAAACGAAGTATTGTACACTCGAACGGTTTGAAGTTGAAACAAAATCACATTGCAAGATCTAAAAAAGTGTCAACTTATTCTTTACAAGTAAACAAACGCAGAACTAGAATTGCTCTTTCATAGGTTGGTATTTTGTAGTCAAGTATAAATTTCAAAAAGCTCCTTCAATGATACGGTGTTACATGTGAAAACCGCAATTCATTCTTCGCGAACAAAGGAGACAAAGCAACAATACAAATGCTCAATTTAAACACGAAAGCTATTGAAAGTTAGCATTTCATTCATTACCTCCAACGATTTCCGCAGACTTTGTCCTTTTGTTGTGTAATGCCTACATCTAATCACAACTATCGGTGTTTTCTTATTGTTGTCCAAAGTTTCAGTGCTTGTACATTTTCAAGAATCGTTGATTGTTTCCATGAAGGCAAACTTTTGTCAGTTTAATTTGGTCTTACATTTTCCTTTTAAATGGCCCAGAAAAGAAGCAAAAACAAAACAGCAGCAAAACAAAACAACATTCACAGAAACAAGAAGCCACAAGTGTACGCGGACGAACCGCCATAAGGACTTGTCATGGGGACTTTGCGCTGATTGGCTAGTTTACATTGCATATGGTATTTCTAGCATTTGATTGACTCAGACCAGCTATCATATTTTTCTTAAATTGGACAGTTTGCCTATATGTAAAGGAACGTCCTATCTGAAACTATCCAAGTTAATCCTTAATTGGACAGTTAATTATCGGATTAACTTACAGCTAATATATAGTTAAACAAGAAAACACAAAACCATGTTCATAGAGTATTTTGAATGTGCCGCGGGCAACCAGCGCTAGGAGAGTAACCAGGTGAAAAGAGAAAGAAAGACACAACATCATGCACAACCCGAAAATCAAATAATAGCTATAATCGACAGAAATAAATCAAATATTTACTTAACTTATAACAAGAACCAATCCTATTCCGTTGGACGCTTGACTGCAACGAACCAGACTAACCAGAAAATCGAGAGGAAAACGAGGGCTCGAAGACGCGCGTAGACTTGACCTCCTTCAGAAAACTCGAATCTCGGTCCCTACGACAATTAGACGCCTGCTTACTACAACGTTCAGCACGCCTTTCGGAACGAAAAATGCGCCTTTCGTCCTCAGAATTGGAAACTAATTCATCCAACAAATATTCCTTCACAGTCAACCGGCCAAACTCGCTCCTATCAGCTAATTTGATAACCTTAATACGCTTCTCCAACAAGCTGACACCTTCTTTGATGGCTTCCTTCGCTTTCTCGTACTTAGCGCACGCCAAAGAATCCTTCGCCTCAGTAAGCTCGTCAAGCACAAGTTGTTGATGCTCGAACTTAGCTTTGTTGTCCTTCGACTTAAGCACTGGCTCACTGTTCTTAAGCCGCTTGGCCTTAGCAGACAAAGACGCCTCTTGCTCCGCGGATAAATGCGCTTAAGAGCAGTAAAGCTGGACTCGATAACAGACGAAGGATTGCCCACAAATCAGCACATGTTGGCGGAATGGCGACTTTGATTGCCTTCTGAACTCCTGGGTCGACGCCAGAAACTGTTGAAATCGAAGAAGTAGAACTGCCTTCCTGTCCCTCAGATATACCCAAAACCGTAAACTAACTCAGAAAACCCAAGAGACTACTGGAAACTAAACGGTTCCCAAAATGCACGGAATACAAATATATGCTAAACTTTGTATCGAAAATATTGTGCTAGACTAGTCAATGCGGACTGTCTTAGTTTACTTTAAGGCTACATTTTTTCAAAAGAAGAAACCTTTTTGCAATACCTCTTCGGTCAGAGTTAACATTTTTTGTCATTATTCGTCAGCCGGCGAAATCTACATACTAATATCGTACCATACCCAAGAATACAAGTGCATAAAATTGTCTGGTGTTATCAATGTCCAAAAGATGCAAAAAATGAGTAAAGAATTTTGATCATTTCAGAAATAGTAGAGTAACTCTGAGTGATGCAGTGACCCGCACTTCACGCCCGCCATGCGCTTGCCTTTTACCCACCCAAAAAATACAATGATAACGCCTGTTCTACTTGCTAATTTGAAAAGGAAGTAATAAGAAATAAACCTTTTGACAAACGTTAAGACGTAAGCGACCTTCTTCTCAGGAATGAACGGTTCATCTAAGAATTTTGTCACAAGGCCTTACCATTACCCTTTTGTCCAGATTTTTGCCTTTCGGAGTAAACCAGCCAAGAAAACGGCAATAATCTGTGTATGGAAGATTTCAGAAATTTTTCAGAGCTTTTTTTAAACCAAAGAAAGGAATCAAACGCTGTCAATATGGGTAGAAAGTGCTCGTTCCCGAAATTCGAGCCATGTCCATCCCTGGCCATGAAATCCAGAGTTTCTTCACTTCTTCACTTAGTTCCACACTTCTCAGAGCTGTTGAAGTGTGGAAAAATCTGACAAAGTCAGGATGAAGTCGCCCTCTTACACCCTATCACAAAATCCCTCATCTTCCTTAAGTTAAATCTACACTTCTCAGAGGTTTGGAAGTGTGAACACGTCTGACGAACTGGGTTTAATGTCGCACTTTCCCCAAGTCATTAACCCCTTCTATTCTTTTAACTTAGCCCCACTTGTATGCTACATTAAGAATAACAAGCGGTTCATAACTAGGCGGAAAGCGTGACATTACGGCATAACTTTGTCAGGCTTAACCGCACTTCCATTCTTGTAAGTAGTGAACAATTAGTGGCTGGGGGAAAAAGAGCCACTTTATCCTGACTTTTAAGGACTGGTTGTTTACCATTTACAAAAATTTTCCGGGAAACCCGGTTGGAAAGTAAATAAAGCGCGACTTTTTGGGTCTTCCCAACGGAAAATTTCCGGGAGAAACGGAACATCTGAAAAGGTAGTCCTGTTTTTCCGGATGGAATATTCCAAACGGAAATTCGTGTTTCATTTCTTCAAAGCCATCTTTAATACCAGTTTCAGACCTTCGCGGCCGTTTTCCGGTAAATGGAACTGATTTATACATATGGTAAACGCGATTCCGGGACGAAATTTACCAGTCCTGAACTTTGCGAACCATTGACCCAAACCGAGAACCGACCGGTTTGCCCATGTAAATGGTAAACAACCACTATTTCACACTCCCACAGCTCTGAGCAGTTTGGAACTAAGTAAACAATTACAAGGGGGTTCACCACTAAAGGAAAAGTGCAACCTTCTCCTTTAAGTTGGTCAGACTATATTCCACCGGACCTTCAGCGCTCTTAAAAGTGTAGATCTAACTAAAGAATTACAAGGAGTTCGTAAGAGGGGGATAATTGCAACTTTGTCCCGACTCTGTCAGACTTCTCCACATTTCTGCAAACATGAGAAGTGTGGAACTAAGTAAAGAATAAGAAAGGGTTCGTATCTACAATATCTTCAGTTTTTCATACTTTTTCACACTTCCACTACTCTGAAAAACGTGGAACTAAGTAAAGAATAACAAGGGGATCTTGTGGCCAGCGCTGGACTTCTGTGGAGCCAAGAAAAGTGGCCTTACCATTCTCCTTCTGTCCAGATTTTTGCCTTTTTTGTAAACCACCCAGGAAAACGACAAATATCTGTGTATGAAAGATTTCAGAAATTTTTCCGAGTTTTGTGAAACCAAAGCAAGGAATCAATCGCTGTCAATATGGGTAGAAAAATGCTTGTTCCTGAAAATTCGTCGAAAATCCACAGTCGACAAAATTTCCAGAAACACATTTCAAAGGGAACTGAAGGTAATTTCCTCGTTTTGCACCGCGCATCACCTAGTGCGCATAATGTTGCAACTTCAAAAGGAGCGATGATTTTCACCTGTCGCCTAAAAAGAGGTACTAACTTTGCCCCCTTTTCTAATGCTAATTCTCTTCATAGCAATATTGATAATTCTACCCGGCTAAAAAAGTGTTTGTCTTTAAACTTGCCCCAGTCTTCTCGCTCAAAATGATTATTTAAAGTCGAAATAGTCCTGTTGTTGTCGTTTTGCGATGAAACGAGAACGGTGAGCCCCCTTTTTTATTTGTGTTTTTTACCTTTTACGGCTACAAAAAATACATATATATTCAGGAGAAAAATCTGGGTAGTAGAAGTTGTATTTTTTTAGATATGGATGACGCGAATTTCCGTATTTAGAGGAGGGTCTCAAAGGGGTTAACCGATAGGCGTAAAACGGCCAAAAATTTAGTTGATAGCCGTAAAAATGGAAAAATTTTAACCGTTAGCCGTAAATAGGGTAAAAAAGAGTTAACCGTAAAAGAAATTTTTCCCTAGATTTGCTACTTTTAAGGAAGGTACTAAACTCACTTATGGTTGCTTTTTTTATTTCTCGGCTAGTGTGGCTCCGTACGCACGTTAGGTAAAACGCTTTTTAGGTGTCGGCCAAGACCCTGGTTCTATTTCCCCCGCTGTCGGGGAACTATTTTTTTTTCCATAGCGAAAGTGTGGCTTCTTGCTGGGGATTAATATTCGCGATTTTCAGGAGGTCGTACCATCGAAACATTATTGAACAACACGCAGAGATCTCACTGTTTGTAAAACACGTTGCCGATAAACAACATTTCCCTGTGTTTCTCTAACGCTACGGTAGACATTGCCATGCCTAGTCCCTGTACGGCGTCTTCCCACGCAATCTCGGTCAAGGCATTTCGGTGGCGAACTCGCTCGGACCACGTGACCCGAAACGAATTAGCCGCGCGAAATAATGAGGCCTACGGACAAGGCAACGGCTGACGGTTGTTCCGTACAGTCCTTCGCTATCATTAAAAACACTGGACACGGGAATTTTGTTATTGGCCGTTTTCAGACTAGAGCTAGAAACGGATTAGCCGTCTGAGACTAGCCTGTTTACAGTCGCCCCCTTCCCGATTTTTTTCTGAGGGGAGGGGGCGGCTGTACACAGGCTATCTGGAACGGATAATCCCGTCTTCAAACTGTCCGTCGAAATTGAAGGATAAAGTCCGGCGGATTTTTCATTCAAAATTAAAACTATTCCATTTTCAAATTAAGACGTATTACCTATCTGACGCGAATCATCAAACGGATAACCCGTCTCACACGAATAATCCGTCTCTAGTGTGAAACGGCCATTTCTGTTGAAATGAATGTCGCGCCCAGGCCTTGAGTTGGGTGTTCGCGTGTGTGCTTTGCTTTTTCACAAAGATTATTTTTAAATTGACTATTGACATTTCTATGTGTAAATTAATATTAGAAGTGGAATACTTTTTATAAAAAGTATGATCTATCAAATGTTAAAATTTTTCAAAAGAATAGCTTATTTCATCCCGAGATGATCTTAAGACCTTTATTTTGCTTTACAGAAACAAAAAATACAGGTTAATTAATATTTAACTTTTTGAAACAAAAGAAGTTAATTTTTAACTTTTTTGTTAACCGTAACTGAAAAAAATTAGCCGATAGCCGTAAAAGAGCCAAAATTTTAGCCGATAACCGTAAATGCCACCACCCCATTGAGACCATCTTAGGGCCACAGAACTCTCTTGATTTATATATTCTCATTTTGGATAATCTTTTGATCGTTCGGCTGAGTCCGTGTCTGGTAAAGTAAGCTTTTGTTGGCGTTCTTTTTATCTTGATACTTGTTTAACTTTTGCTCCTGATCGAATTTAATTACTGTTTATTATTAATTTTTTTTTTAATTATTACTATTATTATCCTCATTATACACAGCTTCTGGATGGCTCGCTTGCTGGTGTCTTCCTTAAACATCAAGTCACCGCCCGTGACCTTAGGTGTCCAAGACGTTGCGAAGGATTCGGGCTGTACCCAGTAAGCACGCTCTTAGCAATGATTCCAAACGACATGTGACACCAATCTCTGCTAACCACTTTTCTATATCGTTCGAGACAGTTCCTAATGCACCAATTATGATTAGCACCACAGATAACTCTGCTCAATTTCCAGATCCGTTTCAACTCCCGCTTCAGGTCTTGGTAGTTCTCAATTTCTCTTTCCACCGCACTACATTTGATTGCTTGGACCATTTTCCCACCATTCAGTTAAGACTTTAATATTTTTTGTACACGAAGGAATATTCCGTCTCAATTCTTCTTTTCATCTCGGTGTGTTTGATTTCGTCTTCTCCAAGTGTTTATAATCATCGACATCACCATCGTTACAGGAGAGGAGAGAAGAGGTTGTCCGCTATAGTAAGAAGTGATTCCATTTGCTTTAATTGAAATGGATGGATGAAAATTGATCGCTCTTTTTGATATACAAATCCTGTCCAGTGACATACAAATCATGTCAAAAAAAGACAGCCTGTAAACCACTAAGCTAAAACTTATGTCATGTTAGGCCCCTTTCAAACGTGGAATTTCATATGAGTGCCGAACACCTATTTTAGTAGATGAAAGTATAAATCAGGCAGTTGACTCAGACGTCGGATATGATGGTGCCGAATTTAACTCAGTTTGTCGTAAATATTCCTAGTCTCTAGACTGATGCCTTTTTATAGTCCACCCATACCATTCTAAGGCCTGTTTTTCTCCTTGTTATTATTATTATCATTATTATCATTATGTCCATTCCTTCTAGACTCAGGCAGGATGTTCAGTAACGGGTGTTATTATTATTATTATTACAAGTGATACCGGTAAAAGCAAATTATAGTTATTTTACACTATATAAAGCTTCGAGTTTAAACCCTAACATAATTTGATCAAAAAGGGTTAGCTTTTTCGTCTTTCTTCGGTGCCGCATATTTATACCACGAAGTCACGGTTCGAGGTTGTTCGCTGTAGTAAGAAGCTATTCCATTTGCTTTTATTGAAATGGATGGATGAAAATTGATTGCTCTTTTTGATACAAAAATCATGTCCAGTGACATACAAATCATGTCAAAGAGAAAGTAAAATTAAATATTTAACTGATGGAAGCTAGACGTAAAGCTCACAATAAACCCATTAATACTCTTTCAGGCTTGGTCCATGCCGGGGAAGGTTTAAGAAATTTATGAACTATCTATCGCGCGGCTACCGACTGAACGGTTCTTTCTGGATGTAAAACTCCCCAATTTCTCTCTATTCTTCTACCAATTCAAACATGATACCCAATCCTGAAGGTGAAGTCCGGGAGGGAAAAATATACCAATTCTATCAAATATTGGGTCGAAAATATTCTTTGGCTTAGGACAGCTGGGACACCTGGGAAAGCTGGGACACCTGGGACATCTGGGACACTTAAGATACCTGGGACAACTGGGACACATGGGACACCTGGGACAGCTGGGACACCTAAGACGCATGGGACCCATGAGACAACTGGGACACTTGGGAAGGCTGGGTCACGTGGGACACCTGGGACACTTGAGACACCTGGGACACCTGGGACATTCGGGGCAGCTGGGACACTTGGGACACCTGGGACATCTGGGACACTTGGGAAGGCTGGGTCACGTGGGACACCTGGAACACTTGGGACACCTTGGACACCTAAGACACTTGGGACACAGGAGACACCTGGGACACTTGGGACTTCTGGGACACTTGGGACACCTGAGACAGCTCGGACACTTGGGAAGGCTGGGTCACATGGCACGCCTGGGACACTTGGGACACAGGAGACACCTGGGACACTTGGGACACCTGGATGCAGTTTGAACGGAAAGCTTTTTTCTCTGAGACAGCAAAATTCAGTGATAATGATAATGGTGACAGAGAATTCCAATCACAGATTTCAATTATCTCAGAAAAGTATCAAATCTAGGACGAAATAGTTATCTTTAATTAACATCAACGGGAAAGGAAAGGGGTATTATTAATTTCTTTAAAATAGCTAGTCATTCTCCATTTTAGGTCAAGACTGCTTATCACTGTTTGAGTCAGGCCATAATCAAAGTGGGGTGTACTCTGTGAACCCGGATGGTAAAGGATCCTTCAATGTATATTGTGACATGCGCACTGATGGTGGAGGATGGACCGTGTTCCAGAGAAGACAAGATGGCTCAGTGGACTTCTATCGCGGTTGGAAAGATTACAAATCAGGCTTTGGTCAGCTGACAGCTGAGTTCTGGTTGGGAAACGACAAGATCCACAGACTGACAGCCGCTAGACCAAGCTCTCTACGAGTGGACCTGGAAAAATTGAAGAGAGTAAAAGTGCATGCCAAATATGGGAAGTTCAAGATTGGTAATGAGCAGACGAAATATCGACTTGAAGTGGGTTCAAAATCAGGGACGGCGGTAGATTCGTTAGCATATCATAATAACATGGCGTTTAGCACCAAAGACAGAGATAATGACGCAGGGAGTAGTAACTGTGCTGTTACATACACTGGTGCCTGGTGGTACAACTACTGCCACGAAACCAATCTAAACGGCAAATACGGATTCCAGTCATGGTTATACTTAAGTTCTCTAAAATTCTCTGAGATGAAGTTGAAGCCGTCATCATAAGTACAAAACTAAGCCAGTTTCACCGGAAAGCTTCTGTTTTCTCCTAGATAGCAAAATTCAGAGATACATAAGGTGATAAGCAATTCCCATTTATTTTGCGTAAAGGCTTGGGTGGCTGTATTAAAACCCGCGTGTAAGACTCATTTGATGAAGTCTAGCAAAAATGTTCTTATATTATGGGATAGTTACTGACAATTTAAGCTAAGTAGGTTCTTAATTAGGTTCTTAATTTCTATGAAGGAGATATAGTTTTTGACTACCAGAAAATAAAGTGAGTTTTAGTCCTCAAATACACAGTATCTATTCACAAATGCACATTGCAAACCTCCGGCTTTATGCATTAGAATAATGAAAACAATTACAATTTGTTCTTTACATAAACCTGTTTTTGTTGTAGGAATTACAGCGATACTGTGAATCGTAATAATTACAGTTTGGTACAGTATTTTCTTGTAATATCACTTTGTGATCTCAAAGTCAAACTCCTTGCATAAATGTTTATCATAATTTAACTGAAACCCACATTTAAGAACCTACTTGGTTTTCCTTAGGCTATGAAAGGGCGATAAATTTCTGCCAGCCGGTTATTACACCACTAGACGTTTCTTATACGCGGGTTTTAGCTGTACTATGTCCCTGGGTCTCGCCCTCGACCGAGTTTCAAAAAACATCTTAAGATTAAGGGAACTCGTAAATATTATTTCAAAACGATAGGTTATTATTCCAGAGCAAACGTTCAGAGGAAGGCTTTATGCAACCTGGCCCTGGTGAGGATGTATTACACCTGGAGCCACGGAGAATTGCGGATTGTCACAAATTCTATAAAATGGGGAGGACAGATTTTGTAGGGGGCTGCATTATCAAAATCTGAGACAAAAGGTAACAAGCCGAGCAGGCACATCAAGTAGAAGGATAGTCAAAGAAATCATTGGTAAATAAAAATTTGGTTTCTTTGTAGCTTGCTCTCTAATAGTTGCTTTCATTTCAAAACATTGTATAGTGAATCATGACGCGTGATTTCTCGAAACTTCTACGGGAGGAAAATCATGGGATTGAAATCGATCTGCCTCTGATCAGAGGCAGTCTACAGACGTTACTCATTTTACCGCAAGGTTAAGACCGGCCCTTTAAAAAAGACGGAGTAGAAATTATTTCTCGCCACACAGTAGTGAAAAGCAAAAAACGTGAGGCACTGCCCGGCGGTTCTACTGTAATGTTCCACGAGTATCATATCTTCAGTCTAAAGACCAACATTGTTTAACCTTTGCATGCTTTGTTGGCTTTTGTTGTGCTCAGACGAAAAAACCTGAATCTGGGATTCTAAGGTTGCCGCGTAATGGGCCTATAATTGAACGTTAGATTCGTTGCTCCTTATTGGGTAAAAAATCTTCAACGTGGTTATAAAAGAGTTCTCTAGCATTTAGTTAGTCTTTTCCGCTTCTCATCATTTACATCTTGACAATCATCACCGCTCCCGGCTGAAAAGAAGAAACAAACATAATAAGAATAAGGTTTCAATATCATAGAAGCAGGGACAGGACTCAAAATGTTCTATTGAAAAATTTTACGTTGGTCGCAAAACAATACTGATAACTGACTCATTCATGGTACTAAGAAAAACTTTCTGAAAGTAGGTGTTCAGCAGAACATTGACCTTTAAAGCTCTTTATAAACGTGTCGAAGGTGCTCAGACAGAACATCGTTGACTGAGCACACCTTTCGCAATTAGTGTTTCAAAAAGAATTTTTAAGAGCAAGCACACAAAACCTGCCTACCAGCCCCTCCCCTAATTCTACATTTTACTCTAAGGGTTATACAGGGAAGGGGTAGCTGAGCAGACTGATACAATCAACAAATAGTTGTCAAGTATTTTGGTAGGTTTCTTAAGTCGATTTCGTGTTTGTACGTGAATTTACATTCGTGCCTGGAGTCTCTTGGTTTGTAAATCACTGGGATTATTTCGTATTTGCGACGACAGGAATTTGAGTGTTATTATCTTTTTTAACGGGTTTGTCAACACAAGTGCATTCATTTATATATGGCGCAATTAAATTTAACAGTCAGCCCTTGAAGTGGGTACATTTGGGATTATAGCGGAGTTCAGCTGACGCCAACGTCTATTTCCTACATCAGAGTTCCTGCTTTGGTTTATGGTAAACCCTCGCCGGCTTGATTGTAAAATCTTATTGGTTTCCTTATTTTTGACTTGTTTAACCTTATAGGTTTGTTTTCACCTACTTTAGTAACTAGCGAGAAATGCATTAGAGCCATAAGAGAGTGCGTTCGTAATTTTCATGGTCAGCAAGGCCAAGCGTACCTACATCCTGATTTTAGTTATTTAAGTTGCCAATATTTGGCTCAGTTTGTTGTTAAGTTGAGTGGTTAATTAAGTGGGAGCTGTTAAGTTGGAGTACTAACGACACCTCTATTCAGAGGAAAGGGAAAGTTTTCCTGGGTCCCGAGCCCGGATTTAACCACTAGTCAGGGTACACCTTAGTACTCAAAATGAGACTGGCCACAAGAATCTATCGAGGGCGGATTTAGCAACCTCGTCCCCAGGGCTTTTCCCTCAAAAAATGGGTGGGGCGGGAAAAGGCCCTGGCATCGGCTGGTCACGTGTCCGCTCGTGCACCCTAAAATCCTGGGTGTAATAAATTAGCGCTATGTGAAAAGCTAAAATTATGCGTAACCTCACAGCGCGCGATCTTGGGCGACCTTTTATATCTCATGACGATTAACGAAAAGTTTTACAAGATTTCCTTTTTGTCACAGCAGATACTGGCTATGTAGCCTGAATTTCATCCGATTACTTCGAGTGGTTATTACTCCCTCAGTAACGTCTGAATCGGCCGGCCGTTGACGCCGTCCAGTGACGTCACTACACCTTGACCTTTGCTTTAATTCATGCAAAAAGTAAAACACGATTTTCAAGTGGCAAACCGAGAAATATCGTTTGGAAATGTCTGCATGATGCAGAACTGCTTTATTTTTTTCGATCGTAATTCATGTTTAACGTTCAAACTATCAACTGTATGCAGTACAACTCTGAACCGGTCGGACTGAATTCTATAATCAAACTCAGTCGCAACCACGCAATTGAAATAAACACACACGGAACACAGTTCAAAAACACAATGATTTGCTTTAATTGTAAAGAAGCTATTCGGTCCTTAATGAAGAAAAAAAACAAGGAGACAAGAAAGAAAAGCTAACAGAATCATTACACTTGACGGTAAAAATAGCAAGAAGGTCGAATTATAACATTGATCTCAGAAAACTTCGCGTAAACAAAATCACCGGCCGCCGAAACCACAAAGCGGCTCTAAATGAAAAACCTACCGACTCTCCGCAATGATTCTTCATTTGCAGTTCAATTTAGCATTTCAGTTTCGAGGACAAGGGCAATTTTGCTGTTTAAGATAAAGATTAAACCTTATCCAAATGTTTGAACTAAGCGAAAGAATGCTAGGGATGCGATCCGCTGAATATCAAGCGACAAATTCCGCTAAAATTTTTCATAATTATACATAATTATGCGAATGTTTAGACAATCAACCGATCAAAATCACTACGCGGTTTTCGGGTAGTGAGTGACGTCACTGGACGGCATTAACGGCCGGTCGATTCAGACGTTAGGGACTTTAAGATCCGAGACGCGACGGACTGTAAGACGCGACCGGAAGTAAATTTTCAAAGAGGAGACATGTTGCGCATGCTCACGCGGTCGTCCTGGTGTCACCACGTCGCGTAGAGAACGTGGGTTTTACGAGTTTGACGTTCTGTACAAAACGTGAGTATATTTGTTCCTGTGCGTTAATTAAATGACGATATATTCCCCTAAACATGTAAAATCAGCACTCTAGGATCATTGGACGTAATTTCTGGCGACATTTTAGATCGCAGAGATGGAAGGATTTTGATTATTTTTAAATTTCTTTCAGGTGTACGAAGCTTATAAAATGGCAGCACCTTCGACTTCGACTTCGAGCAAGACTTTCAAGTAAGTCACGAGCTAAAACTGCAAATAGTGAATGCAGGAGTCTTCTGCATACTCTTCTCGTGTCTTGTACCGTTGCAATTCTCGATTTATTGCGTTCATCTGCCGCTAAAAGCCAATTTTAAGCCTGTATTATTTTGTATAATTTTATTAAACTGCGTGTGTTTTTATGCTTCCCTTTAGTTCAGTAATGTTTTGGACACATGATCATGAAGCCATTCTATGCAAAGAAGTCGTCAATGTAAATCCCTTCACAACTAAGAAAGGGTCAACACAAAGAAGCAGTATGTGGGAGAAAATAGCAGACGCCTTGAACAAATGCACTGTGCCGAAATTCAGGGTTGATAAGCGATCAGTACGAGACCACGTGGGAATCCTTGTTTACAAGCATAAGAAGAAACTTCTCGCGGAGGAAAAAGCAACTGGAATAACTCCCGATGAGCCAACGGAACTAGAAAACCTATTGGATATGATCATCGCGTCGGAGGAAAGTGGCGAAGCGGAATTTCAGCAAACACAGGGCACAGCTAGCAAAAAACGTCACTACGATCGGGCTAAAGCGGAAGATGTTAGACTAAAAGCGATGGAGAAGCTGTCAGAGACGAAGAAAAGAGGTTCATCAGCGGATGAAAGCGATGACAAACCGAAGCGTCAACGAAGAAGTGGAGGTGATGCTATCGAACAAAGCACAAACAAAGCATTTCTTGGACTTTCTTAAATGATGCCATGGCTATTTCTGCGAAAGAATCGCCGAAGAATCACACTGATAAAGAGCGGTTTGCAGCCGCGTCGTCTTGCATCGCGACGGAGATCTTAACTTTACTTTTCGCGCGCAAACGACGGCGTTCTAGTTCCAGTCCTTTATCAGCCACCGCGTTCTAGAGGTCGTCGCGTCTCAAATCTTAAAGTCCCTGTTGTTTAGAGGAGAAAACGACTCGAAGCAATCGGATGAATTTCAGGCTACTGGCTATGGTAATTTTTTGCTTTCCTCCGATTTCTATGAAGGGGACAGGGAGTAACCTTTGCAAAACTTCTGTTTATAGAACGGTATATATGACAAACAAGCTATCGTACATGCATAAAGGCTGTACTGGAAAAGTCCGTTCAATTTAGCATTTCAGTTTCGAGGACAAGGGCAATTTTGCTGTTTAAGATAAAGATTAAACCTTATCCAAATGTTTGAACTAAGCGAAAGAATGCTAGGGATGCGATCCGCTGAATATCAAGCGACAAATTCCGCTAAAATTTTTCATAATTATACATAATTATGCGAATGTTTAGACAATCAACCGATCAAAATCACTACCCGGTTTTCGGGTAGTGAGTGACGTCACTGGACGGCATTAACGGCCGGTCGATTCAGACGTTGTTTAGAGGAGAAAACGACTCGAAGCAATCGGATAAATTTCAGGCTACTGGCTATGGTAATTTTTTGCTTTCCTCCGATTTCTATGAAGGGGACAGGGAGTAACCTTTGCAAAACTTCTGTTTATAGAACGGTATAAATGACAAACAAGCT